GAATCGTCAGAAATTCGTTACAAATTTTAATTTATTAAAATCTTATCAATTTTAGTGTACCATGATTGTACAACTTGAATTAAAAAAAACTTTTCTCCTCCATTATCATTCCTCGAAAGAATCAAAGAACAATAAACAAAGAGAATCAAGTAGACAAAGAAGAAAAAGAAAGGTCCAGGAGAAGAATTTGTTTCGTTATTTGTTGTTAGGTGATCAGTCATCTTATGCAACTTCATACGAGAATTTTTATCTTTAATTAACCTCTCATTCTTATCTAATTTCAATTCAATTTTCTCTAAGATGCAGAGACAAATTCCTCGAAGATAAAGCGATTTTCTCTGAACTGCAGAGACATGAAACAAGAGAATAAATTTCAAACAATCTCTCAAAACTATTCATAATTCACAAAACATCGTACATATCCAACGATTTTTCCCTCACTGCTTTGTGGTGCTTTGTAGACCTATACAACTGGTGAGAAAGTGCTTAGAACTGATAGTTTCCATTGCCTATGAACTCAAACTCATGCATATCATGATCAGTGATCCTGCGAGATAATCAAATTTAATTAAATCGGTCCTACGAGATAATCAAACATAATTAAATCTGCAAATACCTTTGGGGAAAGCATTGCTCATCATTTCATGTGTTTGGTCTCTTCGAAATTTCAGCAGCCTGCCACTCCTCATTCTTCTTATTAATAAATGCAGCCATCCTAGCCTTGCGCCTAGCCTTATCCCTAGTTTTCTTACTATCAACCTCGCAAGACCGAAAAATGTTATCATACCCATTTGAAGTTAGCATACTTGATAAGCGTAGCTGAACTCACAAGCTGTGATTCATGGGACCGAAATGATAGAAGAGTCGTATGCCCATTCTGTTGCAACAGTTTGAGAGTGCCTTTGAAGTCGTATGCCTAGCCTATTGTTTATGATTTTTCATTGAAAATCAAATTTGTTTAAGTTTAATTTTGTCCACTTTGTGAATTTTTTTGGGTTTCTTGAGTGGCAAAAAACAGAGATAAAGAGGTGTTAGAAGACCTATAAGAAGATTCACGAATTGAGAAATTCATAAAAATCAAATTCAATTAAGTAAAAATGAGAAAGAAAACCAAAACTTTTGTCAAGCTGAGAAATCATATATATAATTAGGGAGTTTTCTCTCCATCTAAGGTGTCCACATAGGCAAAAATATTTTTTAAAACATTTAAGTTTTAAAATGGTCATTTACTACACACTAAATCATATTTATTGTTTTGT